GCCTGTAATCTCAGCATTTTGGGAGGCCGAGGTGAATGGATCACCTGAAGTCAGGAGTTCAAAACCAGCCTGGCCGACATGGTGAAACCCCATATCTATATCTACTGAAAATACAAAAACTAGCTGGGCGTGGGGGTGTGTCCCTGTAATCCTCATTACTCGGAGGCTGAGGCAGGAGAAGTGCTTGAACCTGGGAGTTGGAGGTTTCAGTAAGCTGAGATTGAGGCATTGCATTTTAGCCTGGGCAACAAGAGCAAAACTCTGCCTCAAAAAAAAAAATGTAGCTGGTCATGGTGGTGCATGCCTATAGTCCCAACTACTCTGGAGGTGCATGCCTATAGTCCCAGCCTCCCAACTACTCTGGAGGCTGAGACAGGAGTTTCGCTTGAGCCCAGGAGTGAGACCCTGCCTCTAAAAAAATAAATTTGCCAGCCCTGCCTGTGTGCTTCTGCAGCCCTGTGCAGGGAGCTTCCAGCCTCAGCCCGGGCACAGGCCCACAGCCCCCCATCTTTGTGAAGAAGCATCCCTGGAGCCAGTGCAGCCTGGCTCCCACCCCTTCATTTGGATCTGGCTGTGTAGAGGTGAGCAGTTAGGTAGAGGGTGACTGCATGGCCCTGTGCGGCAATTGTGCCAGCCCCTGCAGCGGACAGCTGCCACCTTCCCTCCTGTTGTGTTTCTGATGGTTCAGAACGGATGTGGCTGAGCCCAGTGATGGTTTTCAGGTCCCCTGTTCTCTGCCTGCCACTTGGGTGATCTTTGATATGTTTCAAACCCATCCTGTCCTCTTAGCTCTCCCTGGGTGCTGCCCAGCAGGAATGAGGCCAGGTTCACACTCAGTGAGAGACAGAGAAAATTGCATCTCAGAAGTCGGCATGCTTGTTTTCCAGTTTCTAATCCTCTTTATAAAATAATGAAATGCAGTAAAGTTAGATTCTTTGTGGAGGCTGCAGGAAGGCAGAGGTGATTGCCTGGGAAACCCTGGTCCTTGGGGCTGCCCATGGCGTACCCAGGGGTGACAGGAGGTGTCTCCATGGGGCACCAATGTTGAGGGTAAAGTGGGGAGGCGGGGGGCCATGTCTGCCTGTGGGCCTGCATGTGAGTGCTTAGGGCTGGCTTGGGGGTAACAGTGTTTGACTCACTAATGCTTTTGCTTAGACTAGAAGTTGCTCCTGAAACTATGGTCTCAAGACATGCTCCCCATAAAAAAAGGAATTTAAGTATCCATCGGGTTTGAGAAATCCCAGGCTCTTCCTGTGTTGGGGCCGATTGGCAGGGGCAGCAGACACAGGGCGGAGATGTGCTTCTCAGCATCACACTCAGCTCTCCTCTCCCAGCAGCTTCTCATTGTCCCTGTCCTTCCAGCCCTGGCTATCCCCTGTGCTGGAGCTCCCCCAGTTCTCCATGCCATCTCCTCACCTTAGCAAGCCCCACTCCTGGACCTAGGTTAGCAAATACCCCTTGCCCACCCTGCAGGCACTGCCCATCCCCCTGTCCTGAGTCATAGGCAGAGTCACTCCTTTCCCTTTGGGGTTCCTTTACCACCAGATTGTGAGATCCTGGTTGGTTTCTTTTGGTTGTTTCCAGTCCATAAAAGTGCTTAGTGCATGGCAGCTTGGGACATCTGAATGAGCGATGTGGTGAAATGCGATTGGAGGAGACAGCCGAGCAGTTCCTGGGCAGTGTCTTCCTTGGGGCACGTCCGTCAGAGTGGCTGGTCCGCCCCAGATGACCCTGAAGAGCCTGTGGGTTACAAGGTGAGTGTCATCTCACAGGCCCTGTGGACAGTCTCCTAGCTCATTGTCCTTGTCGCCAGGGCATGCCTCCCTCCAGCTGGGCGCAGACTCAGCCTGAGTTTCACATGTTTGTTATTTAGCATCCATTTGGGGCTTCCTGTGTGTCTGTAACACTAATGTTTTAGGGACTTTGGATAAGAGAAAAAAAAACATTGAAAAATCTGGGCACTCAAGTACTAGAAAGTCAGGTTAGATTCTCTTCTTCCCCAGCAGAACTGCCAAAGTGTGGATACATAGGATGGTCTCAAAATGCCCGCTGCTGTCCCCAGGGAGGCTGACCATTCTGCTTTTTATCTGCCAAGTGGTGGCCAGGCACCAGCTTTGTGCTGCTGGAGTGATCCATGAGTGGGCCCCTGAAAGGGCAGAGTCCAGGTGGGAACAGTGTGCTCAGGCAAGCAGGCAGCACCTCCTATGGTCTCTCTGCCCTGGTTGGGAACTGGAGTGATAGAGTGGAGAAGCAGGCAGCTTCAGGTGGTCTTCACCATGAAGTCAACAGTGAAAGCCCAGTCACCAGAAGAACTGTATCAAGGCCCCATGGCTAGCGTTAAGTGTTGTGGTTGGGGATGAGCAGAGGTGCCCTGCTGGGGAAGGGAAGTTCAGGCAGCCCAGGACAGTGGCTTCCCTTTGCCTTTCAGCTGCTGTATGTTGCCGGGAAACTTCTAGGTCAGAGGCTATTAAACAGCTGATGAAGATGACCTTCTATGGGCACTTCGTAGCCGGCAAGGACCAGGAGTCTATCAAGCCCTTGATCCGGCACAACAGGGCCTTCAGCATTGGCACCATCCTGGACTATGGAGTGGAGGAGGACCTGGGCTCCAAAGAGGCTGAGCACAGGGAGATGGAGTAAGGCCTGCTTGGTATCTGCAGGCACTCTGATAATGACCCCAGAACACCCAGTGGGAGCAGCTGGGGCGTGTCCAGCTGCTGGGCTTCAACCTGAGCTGGGCGGAGGCCAAGGCTAGGAGAGCTTGGTCAGCCCAGATACTGATGACCCTCCTGGGTTCTGCCTGGAGTTCTTGCATTTTTGCTTCATGTGGATGACAACTCTGGGCTTTCATGGGAGGCTTGGTGTGTGTGAGGCCTGAGGAGGCTGAGCACAGAATAGCCCTTGCCCTTATCTAGCCCACTGCCTGGTGGGGCACAGGCACCAGCACATGAACCAAGCACTTTACAAAGAATGGTTGGTCTTGCATGGTCTCCCATGAACCAGGCACTGCTCCAAGAAGAGGAGGGCAACATGGTCTTGTTGTTCTGCCCTGATGCCCAGGAGGGTGGGTCAGGGTGGTACCAACCGCCCTCTACACTCACTGTCCAGTGAAGAGTCTCTGTTATCAGGTTAGTGGCCTCTAGGAGCAGACTCCAGGCTGGCCTGCCACACTGCTCCTGGCTTCACTTCCCTTCTCCACTGACACTGGGGCAAAGGCCAGGCCTTGGATGTTCCACACCTGCAGGGCAGGCTGGGGCCCCTCAAGGGTCAGGCAGTGGGACCTGCCTGTGGGTCAGGAATCCCTGCAGAAAAGAGGCTGTAGTGGAGCCTCCTCCATCAGGTTAGCAAACGTTTGTGTAAACAGCCAGGTAGCACAGAATCTCGGCCTTGGACCACACCTTCTCTGCCACAATGGCTTCATTCTGGCTTAGGAGGGCCACAGTAATTTCAATTTTATATAATTTTCTTGTGAGACAAAACATTATTCTTGTTTTGTTTTCTTATCAACGATTTTCTTAAAAATAGGGTCTTGCTTTGTTGCCCAGGCTGTAGTGCAGTGGTGTGTGGGTCACTGCAGCCTAAGCCTTCTGGGCTCAAGTGATCTTCTCATCTCAGCCTCCTAAGTAGCTGGGACCACAGGCATGCACCACCAGACCTGGATAATTTTTCATTTTTTTTTTTTCGTAAAGATGGGATCTCCCTATGTCTCCCTATGTATTTGGGTCTCCTGCACCCTGACCGCAGCTGGGCCTGACCCACCTGAGGCTCAGGACAGGCCCTCTGTGGACCTTGTCAGGCCTTGGTGTTTGCTCTGCCCCTCCCCAGGTGGCTGACCTGGGAAGGGGAGGGAAAGGCAGTCACATGAGGCCTCCAGCCCTGGGAATAGAATGTCAATGCCTTGCCTCAGCATGCAGGCTGCCGGCTGCCCAGAGAGGATTGGCCAGGAGAGCCCAGCCTCTGCCTTGTGATTGACTGTTTTGAAGGTTGGGTGCTCCAGTCCCTGTACCCCGCTGTGTTCCTAGCCGGCCCTGTGGGCCTCACAGCTGCAGCCTTTGCTGAGCTGCCTGTTGAATAACCAATGGCCTGTGTGTCCTCAGGAGTCTGGTGGGGACTTCATTTCACAATGGGGTTTTCCTCTCAGGCGCCTCTGGTATGAAAAGACTCCTTTCCCAGGGTGGTCCTGCCAGGCTTCCTCCCTACCCTGCAGGCTGAGTGTTTGGAAGTCGGCTGCCCTCTACTCTGCCAGGGGACTGTGCCCTTAGGAGCCTGAGTCCCTTGCCCTGCAAGGGCTGCACCTCTATTGCTGCTGGTGGCTGCTGTCTGCAGGGGTCCTGCTCCTGCTCTGGGAAGTGGATGGGGTTCTCTCCTGTCCTCACAGGGATGCATGGTGAGGACATCCACCCAGCTCTGCTGCTCTGTGCCTTCAGAGGGGCCTGAGCCTTGGGGGTAGAGCTGGGCTTACAAGCGCTGGTCTGATGTCCACACGGCAGCATGGCCTGCCTGGACAGGAGTGACCAGTCACACAGACCCTCGTTCAGGGAACTGGTTAGAGATCTGCCTTCCTAACCTACCTTCCTGTCACAAGGCCCATGGGCTCTGCTCTAGGGAGAGATGCTGAGGTCTCTGCCCCAAATTAAGGCCATGTGGGTGGTGCTGGCCTAACCCTGAGGCCCAGGGAGGGTGGAGGCATCTGAGAGCATAGCAAAGCGAGTCCCAGCAGTGCTCCCAAGAAAGAAGGAGGAGGTGGGAGCTGGAAGTGCAAGAGGGCGGTGCCCACCCAGAGAGGGGTGGGACCATGCTTCCCAGAGGCCAGGGCCCACCCGACCCCAGGAGAGGAGTTCCAGGGGGCCCCCAAGCAGGCTGAGGGCTTGGGAATGGGGCAGGGTCCAAGGCATCTTCCTGATGATTAGGCTGTGAGGGGACACTCCAGTGGGTGGATGAAGGCATCGGTCTGGCTATGCAGGCCCAGGGCTGGCTGGAGGCAGGGTCTGGGCCTTGGTTCCCAGGCTGGGGCAGCTCACTTGGGATGTGTGTGCAGTGTGTGTCCTGAGCAAGTGGCTGGGGTGAGGGGCTGGGGAGGTGGGCAGGGGCTGGGGGAGCTGGAGAGGTGGGTACAGGTAGAAAGGGGCTTGCTGGGCTTCCCTCCAGGGGAGAGCTGGATAAGGGTGGGTTGTGGACCCCCATGCTCTGCTTGTTTCAAACAGGCATCACTTCAACAGGGACAGCACCCAGAACTGAGCTCGATAGAGGCCAAGGGGGTGGTCAGGTTCTTCCTGCTGTCTCTGAAGACGCCTTCTTGCTTATCCTCCTCTGCCCCATGTCCTCTTGTTGCTCTTCCCTCCTCTGTGTCCCAGGTTGTGGCCACATGTGCAAGCACGTGCCCTTCCACAGACTGTGCCCTAGGTGTGATGAAGGGTGGGGCTGGGATAGCATGAGGTAGGTCCTGGCTTTAAGGAGGCATTGTGATGTGGTCCCCACCTGATCAGGACCCCACATCCACCAGTTCACCGTTCATCCTCTAACATCGGGTCACTGCCAGTGCCACGTGCCCCCCTCTTCCCTGTGGGAGCGGCCTTAGCATAGACAATGGGTCCCCCTTGGGGATGGCTTTTGACTGGCTGTACCTGAGCCTTGAGTGAAGGCCCTGGGGCTGACCTCATGACTGGCCTTAAGGTGCCTAAGCCAGGGGCCCAGGAGCTCCCTGTCCCAGGCAGGGGGTCATGAGCTGCCTGCCTGTTCCCTAGTCACACGGTGACATTCCACCCTCTTCGGTTACTTCTCTTTGTCAGCACAAGGCAGTCAGAGCATATCTGCCTGCCAGCTCCCATCCCTGGGCTATAGCTTCAGGGGTGCTAGCAGCATGTGGGGAGTCCCTGGCCCATATGGGGCTGCCCAGGAGTGGGTGGGAAGGAAGGCCTCCTGGTGGGAGCTCCTGGCCCAGGGCTTGCTCCTTGAACAGCTAGGTGGAAAGTGGGCACCTCACACCCCTTGACATGGAGGCCTCTCTGATGCAGCTCACCGACCACTGCTCTGCCTTTACTCCTCCCAGGACTTGAGGGGTACCCTGTCCTTTCCTTTGAGTGTGGGTAAAGCTGCCCCCATGGGTCCAAACACCTCTGGGGAGCCTCAGGGAGGCTGTGGATCCTGTCATCCATGCAGCCGAGCTCTCTCCATGGCCACTGACTTCATCAGGCTTTGAATACAAAGTCAGATAACCCACAGAGCTGCTCCTGGGGCCAGGGAGATTATGGTCACTTTGTCACAGTAGATTTAACAGCCACAGCAACTCTTGTTAGCCCGAATGACACAGCACTGAAACCAAGTGCCAGAAAGCAGATTGTGGCCATGAGGAGGAGAAAGAGGGTGTTCACAGTGGCTCTGGCAGAGGTGTGGGGCTAGTGGGGAGCGGAGCCAGGTACCCTAAAGGAGGGAGGGGCCAGCGGGCATGGGTGTGCTGGCCAGGCATGGATGGAGAGGCACCTGCAGGAAGGACAGGGGCTTGGCTGAGCAGCGTGTGGCCAGCCTCGTTGGGGGCAGCCTGCATCCTGGCCTCACTGGTCTCGACGTGTCTAAGCCAGGGGCTCAGGACTTTTGGCATTACTAGGAAGTGATGGGAACCTGCGGTGGGGTGGTGGTAAACAAGATGAGATGGTAAGATCTGCTTTCAATTTAAAGAAATTTTTCTGGTTGTTGCTTGGGAAAGAAGTGCCAGGGGCAAGAATGCTACAGGAGGACTGGCCTAGAGGACAGGGTGGGACTGCAGGGCCGGCTGTGCAGGGCCAGGAGCTTGTACTTGCATCAGTGGTGCCTAGAGACCCTATCTCTGGGGCAGAGGCCTGAGGAAGAGGGCCTCGCTGGGATTTGGGGACCTCTGTGTGCTTGTGCCTTCCCGCCTCCGTTCCTCTCAGCCCTGACTGGCTCTGTCTCGGAACCAGGAATGCTCCTGTACTTGCGGCCAGCCCTGGGCTGTTCAGAGAACTCAGGCATATCCTTTGGATTTCTCCACCCACAAGGAGCTCCAGGCTCCTGAGACCTTAGGACACAACAGCCCATAAACTGCTGCCCCTCCCTAGCCCAGGTGTTCCACCCCAGGATAGGGTGGGGCCAAGGCCTGCCCTTGGAGCCTGCCCTCCCCTGGGGTTGTGGTGAGGCCCTCCAGGCAGCCTCAGTGGGAACTTGCCTGTCATCTGTGGCCTAGGTGCTGTGACTCTGACCTTTGCCCTCCCCTTCCTTCCCACAGGTTCTGCACCTCAGCTGCAGAGAGGGATGGCAGTGGTGAGTGAGAGGCCTCCTTGCATAAACAGATGCCCTCCCTACCCTGCACACCCCCTGGTGGCTCAGGAGTGTCTAGGCTGGAACACAAGTTGGTACCTGGGTTCCTATGTCCAGGGCACCTGCGCTGTTGCTCTGGGCTCTGACATACTCACAAGCATCTGAAGAGAGATGCCCTACTTCTTTTTTACAGCCTCCTGGTGGACCCAGGCCTTTGTAAGGAGGCTTTGCCACAGGGACACAGCACTCCAGGTGGAAGAGCCTGGTGCAGAGAGGAGGGTGGGCTTGGGGATGGGAGTTATGGGGCAGTGCAGTGCCGGGGCCAAGCTGGCAAGGCCACTGCCCTTGGAGCCCTCCTGAGGGCAGGGGCTCAGACGTTGGCATGTGGGTTCTGGGGTGGGTGATTGGAGCTGTGCCTAGGCCATGCATTCACCATTCCAGGCACGAA